CCGCTGCGATTGGTCCGCGCCTCTGTGCCAAGGCACTAGGTCTCTCTTCTGTCCTGGGCCGAAGCGTCGGTCTCCACCCTGGCTGGGCGCGAGGCCCATGATCGCTGTCACCGCTGTCAGGGCTTCAGGGGGCCCGCGTGTCCGGGGAGTGGGGACGTCGTGTGCACGGCTGCCCATCTCCCTCCAAGGGTGAACGTTGACCAAACGCTGCGGTTATGGTGCCCGCTCACTTCCAGAAGGGTGCACTTGGCTATGTGGGTGTTTATGCACATGCGAATTGATTCAAGCCGGTGCCTCGGAACAGGTGAACATTTAGTTGCGGGGCCAGACTTTAATATGAGCGTTTGTATATGTCATCGTGGCGACCTCTGTATTTCTGAGGATGATTCTGGATTTTGTGTGTGTATGTGTGTGTGTGTGTGTGATCTGATAGGCATAGGGAATCAAAGGAACCTGCCTGTGGGTTGCAAAACATTATCCAGTGTATTGCGTGGGTTTGCCTAGGGTTTGCTAAAGAGAATGTATCACACTCAAATGTTTTGTGGAGTGATGCTTTAAAATGACAAAATTTCTCTGCCCCTTAGAGAAGACAAGGTCATATATTTTTTTAATTTAGTCTAGGGAGTTTTTAAAATGTCAGCTCTAAGTATGTGTTAAGTGGTGTTTTAACAGGAAAGTGGTAACAAAAGTATGCTTTGCTTCATGGATGAGAAGTAATAAAACTGTGGCATGATGGTATAAATTTTCACAAAATGCCTTTTTAGAAGAACGTATCAAGGAAACTGTCTTCTAACTTTGCTAGACTGAAGGTTATGCTTAGCAAGCTGATCTGATGAACAGGCTTGAACACAGTAAAATGTTTATAAAAGGGAAAACATATCAGAGCTATGGCCATTCTGAAATGCCTAATATTATTTTTGGCCTCAGTTCCCTGCAGAATGAATGGGCTTTGCACAGGAAAGGGCTCAGTAAACATTTGTCCACTGAACTAGTCTCCAGAATTCCATCAGATGCAGCTTCCCACGCTGTTGTATGCTCCCAGCTCCCCTTCTATTGGCGTGTGAGCAGCTTGTGTTACTTTCCCTTGTTGCAGATAGTCACAGAATTATGACATCGACCTTATAGAGGCAGAAAAGTTTAAACTATAATCTACTTAAAGACTTTTTCACCTCCTTTATATAGATAAAGACATTAAGACCTTAGAGAGGTTTCTTCATACGAAGTCACATGGCTGGTTAACATAGACCTAGAGTTATAGTCTCTAGGTCTCGAGCCAATCCACAATCCAGCCTTCCTTGTCCTACACCAGTTCATCCCATTGGCCCTGTACGATCTCTGGGTGCGTCCCTGCATCATCCCACCCACTCTGGGTTCTTAGAACTAGCTTCCTTCCACCTACTATCTCTGTACTGGGTTCCCTCAATTCTCACATGCTTCAGATGCCAAAATATTCACACTCACCCCTCCAAACACGCTCACTTTCCTGAGTCAGAAGAGGATATCCAGGTTCTTGTGGCTGTATAATCCCTCCCAACATCTCTTATGTGGCAGTTAGCCAGCATGACCTTCAAAGCTTTTTTAAGCTTCTCAGATGCATGCCTCTCACTGTGAACCTTGCCAAGAACTCAATTCTTGAGACTGTAAATGCTTAGGATCCAGAGGGGTCTTTTGGGTTAGGGTGGACCTAGCTGTTATTCTCTGCCCCCAAGGTTTTTTCTTAATCTTCATTTTCCTTTAGCTCATTTAGCCCAGCACCTCTGCTTGTTCCCACCCCTGGGAGATTCTGTCCTAGTGGTCCAGGCAGCAGAACTCATAGTGGATTTAGTCTGGGAGGAGCACCCGGGAAAGGGAGTGTTGGAGTTAATCATGTATGCCTGCACTTGGCGTGCACCCTGGGAGGGACGCCTTAGATGCTGGATAAGTGGATCCTGACCAAGGATCTTACTGATTTGTTGGCAAAACAAGATTAAGTTAGAAACCGATGTGGACTAGGGCTGGGAAATTTCTGAGAGGAATTGTGGCTCAAACTGGAAATTGAAGACAAAGTGACTCTAGAGAGGTAGACACCTGGGGTAGGAGGGGGTGGCAGAGAGGGGTGGCATTCTAGGTGGGAGGAAAGGCAAGAGTGGATGGGCAGGAGAGCAAATGTTTCTTTTGTTAATAGGGAGAGAAAGGGGAAATGGGAGATTCTGAGTTTTCAAGGCTATTAAAATGCAGATTTCCAGGCCTCTGGGATGGCATCTCAGACTATAGTCTCTACACTCTGCTAATTCCTTACAATGCTGGGAGCAGTTTCCTTAACATGCCTTGCATCTGCATAGGGCTTTTGGGAGAATAGGTTTGTTTTCTTTTTGTTTTTCAGTAAAGGATCACTTCTTGATCTCATTTTCACAATACAGTTAGTTCCCCCATTCCTAGCAAAAGAGCCAACCTCAGAATAAGGCTAGGAAGGTCCTGCCCTCCGCTCCCCCATCTGAGATTGTGACTTCTGTGGTACTTGTCCGTGGTGAGCCACCCCTTCACACAGCTCACAGGTGCTGACGGGTCACATCCAACTGCATCATTGCAACGGAAAGCTCTATCTGAAAAATGTCGACCTAAGCTCCTGACAGGGCCACAGTGCAAGTCAATGAAAATGGCTTGAAAAGAATGCCTTTTGGGGATCATAGCAAATCACTCCTAGTGGAGAGCAGGACTCAGCATGTGGGGGTAGGAGATTTAAAATTGCACAAGGTCTAATTAGGCTTAACATCTACTTGGCTTGATTCTTCCTTAAAGCAGAGTGGAAAGATCTTCTCCTATCTTCCCTGAGGTGTTCCCATATCTCATCCCAGGCAGGGGAAATATCTCCCAGCTCCTGACCAGGGCGCCTGCGGCAGGCGGGGTAAAGTGGAGCTCGCAGCTCCCAGCAGCCAGACAGGCTGCTCTGGCGCCCACTTCACCCCTAGGGGGTGGGCAGGGAAGGCTGCATCTAGGGGGAGCCGGTAATGGGAGGGTCTGCCCCCTATGGGAGAGGCAGACGGCTGCCCCCTTATGTAGTGACTGATGTCCACACAGCCATCCAGATGCTTCAGGGGGAGTGTGTTTAAGTAGAAGCCTGGGAGGAAACCCAAATTATCAGCATTGGCACTGGCAGAGCTCCAGATTCCCCACAAGCCCAAAGGCCTTGGTATTAGTATTCTTAGACTATTAGAGAATTCGAGATCCTGGGAGGACACTGGGATTTTTACCTCCATTCTTCTAGAACAATGTTGCCCATCAGGGTCTCTTTTTATGTATGTTGACCTAAATTCCCTGGTGTCCAGGTACCTTCATTTCTCTTTAATTTAAACAAGTAAAGAAAACCTATGTTCTTAGGGTCAAAAGTTTCCCATTTTTCCCTACGCAGTTCAAAACGTTCACTGTTTCACTTTGCTTCCAGTTAAAGATCTGTCAGTGTCTGGAAACTGGAGACTATAAAGATGTGGCCTCTGACTTAACCTAGCCCTCGGGTTGGGTGGGCCTCTACAGATTCTGCACTGTCCTCTCTGCACTGATGGTGTAACCCCTGGTGATGAATGTTACAAGAGTTACCGGGATCCACACAGTAAAGTGCCCCCCACGTACCCTCCTCCTGCCATTGCTCTGAGAAGCAAACAGAGGGAAAGTAGACACACTGCGAAGACCACGTTGTTGATGGGTTTGCTTTCTGACCTAAAAGAAGTTTTAAAATCCAGCACTGCCTGATTGGGTTCACTATCTCTGTGGCCAACTCTCTTAGAACTTACTGAGAGAGCTTTCTTCCACCTCCTTCCCCAATATTCCCGCTATGGAAGAGATTCTGTTCCCAGCTGCTGCCAGCTGTGTGTTAGTATGAGTGCCCTAGTGTAGATGGCTCAAATAGTGAAAGTATCAGAATCGCCTGGGACGGTATTGCCCACCGGATGCCTGGGCCCACCCCAGTAGATTCAGATCCAGTGTTTTCGAGGTGGGGCCTGGGCATGTATATTTTCAGCAGTTTCCCCAGATGACTGGCATCTAAATTGGCAGACCCCTGGCGAGGTCATGCGTTGTCCCCATGTAGCAGGACTGAGCTCAGTGGAGAGTGGACCCAGCAGAGACCTCTCATAATAATTTACTCTAAACTTCAGCACTGAGCACCCATGGGGTATATGGAGGGGATGAAGACACAGCCTCTCTGTTCAAAGAGCTGGCAGAGCAGTGGGGAGCCAGCCTCCCTCTGAGTGGTGGGGGGAGCACCTGATGGAGGGGTCCATGGCTCAGGTAAGAGACCCTGGTCCCTGTCTCTTAATACTATTACGTATCAGTCCCAGAATCACCTCTCCTAGGAAAGGGCTCCTGGTTTGTAAACTCAGATGTGACAAAGGACGACATAATGATCATCTTCAGAGCCCACCAGGAGCAGGACAAGGCGAACCCACTTCCACTTCTGTCGTCATGTGACCTTTTGCTTCCACAGGTAAAAGAGTGCGTTTTCTTCTTTTTGAGATAGAATATACATATACAGAAAAGTCCACAAATCTAAAGAATACACCTTGATGAGTTTCTTTCATAAATATACACCTGTGTAACCACTACCCAGATCAAAGAGGGGTGCATTCTTCACCTCGAAGGGTGGGACACATACCTGTTCAGCTTTTAACAGGCTGTAAAGAGTGAGATCTCAGGGAATGGCTCCTTCTCCTTGGCCACAGCAGTCAATTAGCAAGTGCCTGATGAGTCTCTGCCATTTCTGGAAACTTCCTGTTGTAAAACAGCAGTGCCCCTCAACTGTAAGTCAAATATGAGCAGTTTGTGTTTTTAGGAATCAAGCTTAAATAACAGATTTTGTGTTATTTGTTTTTTATTGTGTATCTGTTATTGACTATATTCACTAGTTTGGGACTTTTTACTTGGGGTGGTAACCTCTTCTATCTGCTTCAATCTGCCTTCCTTTTCCTTTAATATTGTATCTTTATTATTTAGGGCAAAAAAAGCATAATATCACCTTGCAGCCTGTAATGGAGACCTCTGGAGGAGGCAGCAACCCCAGTGGCAGAGCCGCGCCCTGGCCCTTGGCGCAGCTGCAGAAGCTTCAGACACGGGTGGCCTGCAGACGCCTGTCCCAGGCCCGCCACCGGGCCACCATGGCAGGGCTCTTCAGCAACCTCAGGAAAACCATTTACTCCCAGTCTGACTTCATAGCCTCAAAGGTATGGTGACCTGAGTGTGGGGAGAAGTTTACACACATAAAGGGATTGAGGAGCATGGTGGTGACTGGCCCGGAGCTCCCCCACCCACCCCCTCCCCAAACGGCTGCGACCTGGGTGGCGTCAGCGATCAGCTGCGGACACCTCATGGTGCCACGTCTGCTGCTGCACAAGGGGAAAGAGTGAGAGCCGGCCCTTACCTACTGGCTGCAGACAAGCTTGACGTGAGAAGGGAAATCCGGGCCTGAGAGGCCTGGTGAGCCAGCGACTCCTCCTGTCCTTCTCATGGGCAGTGCTGAGCCTCCGGGAGCTGCTCCCAGACCCGGCACCTCCACCCCAAACACACACACACACCCCACATGCACAGACACACACACACACACACACGCATGTGTGCGCCCCTTGAGTTTTATGCACCAACCAGGTCTTTCCCCCAGGCAACAGGGCTCTCCAGGTAAGCATTTATCTTTCCTTTTCTTAATTTCGCTTTTCTCGTTATATGGGTTTTTTGTAGCTAATTAGTGCCTCTGGCAGAGCACGGAGGAAGGGTCAGGTGGTTTTGGGCGGTGGTGGAAGGAATGGAATTGGTGTTACTGGAGGAAGCACTGTAGGAGGTCTCCAGTAGTGGAGAGATCCCCAAGAGCCTCTAGTTCCTCCACCCTCTTTTAAGAGAAGAGGGAACTGGAGTTGAGAAAAGACCTGTCAGCTGCTTGGTGGCAGGACCAGGAAGTGGCCCAGTTCCCAGCTCTGGACCTGGCATCTTTCCACTGTCCACCTCTCCAGACCAGCTCGTCATCCTGCAACTGTTTCCAGCCAGTGGGTTTTCCTTTCTGGGCTGGTGCTTTCAGCAGAGCGACACTAATGGAGAGGGATTGTTTGATGGGCATGAGCTTCCCGCTGCCGGAGCTGGCACAGGACTCTCGCTGAGGCACGCAGAAGGGCTCCTCAGCAGCACAGGGCCAGGGCCTCTGTGGAAATTAGAGAAAGGCGCCCCTGAGCACCCTTGTGCAGGGATCCACGTAGGGGCACGATTGTGGTTAGCTGAGAGAATCAACAGAGATCCCGCGGGCTCTTGTAGCAGGGCATGGAGGGTGGGAGACATGGGGTGCTGTTCCTCCTCTCTCTGCTGAGCCAGGCTCAGGGGCTCAGGACTCGGGGTTTGAGTGGGGGGATATCCCAGGTCTGGGCCTCACAGCAAAGAGCCTGTCCAGCATAGCTCTGCTCCATGTCCCCTGCATGAGGAGGTATATGCTGCTGACGTCCAGGGGTGCATTAAAACCCAAAGTCCCTGTCATCGGTCAGTGAAGAAGCCTGCACAGACTGGCAGCATGACCGCAGAAGGAACAGGCGTTCAGGGCCTCCAAGTAAGAAATGGAAGTAAATCTAGAGGAAAACCATTGTTACCCCCTAAAATTTGTACCTCATGAGGTGGTGGTTGAGAGCCGGGCTGTTAACTGGCCTCAGTCCACGTGAGGGAAGTTACTTGCTAGGTCAGTGAACACATCTATTAAACAGGGACAATAGTCATGGCTTCCTCAGAGGCCTGTCGTGGGGTTTAACAAGACAATGACATGAAA